AAGAAAGAAAAGCAAACACAACACAAACTGAAGTTTCATCGTCTCGACGAATTGAAAATTTAAATGTACAAATTGTTTACAATGAACAGGTGCCGATTGTTAGAAATTAATTTTCTTTTGTTTTTCTTTTTTAAGGTAGTTTTAACCATTCCATAACGTATCTTTTTCAATGTGTGTTTTAGCTTTTTACATCTTTTGGTCTTTTTACATTCTTACTTAATTATACAATTTACGCACTTTCACAGTTTTGTTACAATAACATTATTTCATTGTAATGTCCTCGTTAATACTTTATATTTTATAATTTGTGTTACTTAAATACTATAGATGCAATTTTAAAAATGAAACGAAAATAAGTCGTCCATTTTACTAGTCGTTTTGTTTATATTTTTTTTATATATTTAATATAATTTATAATACTTATATATTTAGCCCCTAAAATAGAAAACAACTTGACTTCGTAAAAGTTTAAAATTATCTGTCGACCTCAAGATAAGTTCTTCTTAACTTTTTTAAAGCTTTATAAATTAGTTTCTGTAATTATATTATACTAGCTTTTGCCCGCGACTTCGTTCGCGTGGTATAGTTATTTTGGGCAGCATATATTTTTTAAAAACGCTGTTATTTTTCGAGTTGATGATGAAATTTTCTTGATGTTTAAGTTCAAAGATACTACAACAAAGAAAAGAAACAAATATCTAATAAGTTATAGCACTTTATCTTTGAAAACTTTAGAGATATTAATCCAATCCTATCCAATTTGAAATACAGTTGAAACAGGAAAAACAGTTCAGAAGTTTAAACAAAAGTTAATCGAAAACTTAATCTATAAAAAAAATTGAAATTTAATTATTTGCTGAAATAGCTTGTTGATTTTTCTTTTGTAAAGAAAATTACTTGAATTTGAACATTTTTATCCAATAAAATTTCAAAAGAGTAATATATACTGAAATACCAATTTACTCTTTCCTGTTAATAATCATCATCGCCGTATTTACTGTACCACTGCAGGGGCTGAGCCTTCTTTATAATCTTATATATATAAAAATTTTGTGTCACGATGTATGTTGCCAATAAACTCCAAAACTACTGAACCGATTTCAATCAAATTTCACATGTACCCGTATTTTGGTCTAACTTACTGGATAGGATAGTTATCATCTCAATTATTCGCTTATGTCGTGAATGTAAACGAATAAAATGTACTAATTAATTGTTTCTTCAGCAAAAGTTTATTTTACCGGAAGGGTTTTATTTCCTCACTTGCGATTAGAGAAATAAAATATGGCGGTACGAAGTTCGCCGGGTCAGCTAGTATTAGTATAGATTTTTTATCTTACTTGAGTAAAGGGAATGAGTAGTGCTTATTAATAAACATTACTTTTTAACCCCCGACACACATTACTTTTTAACACAGACACGTCAAACTTATAACAAAACGACGGGGTGTTATAAGTTTGACGTGTCTGTAGTGGCGTCATAGCTGCCGAACCGATGAACTGATTTTGACTTTTTTCTTTTTGTTTGAAAAGTGTGTTAGTCGGGAGTGTTCTTCACTATGGTTGATGGAAATTGATGCAAGATGGCCGCCGCCACAAAATATCAGATTACATATTTTTTCACGATTCCGTCAATATGAGTATCAAATAAGAGGGCTTGAGTAGTAAAATCCTGTACACTATCGGTCAGTTGCACAAACACCTATTAAGGTTTATTGACGCTTTTAAACTCCAATGAATGTCAAATTTGTATGGGTAATGTCGCTTTAAACTAATGATAACTTTAATAGACGTTTGTGCAACTGGCTCTATGACAAATTTTAAATCCAAGATGGCCGCCGCCACAAAATGTTGGATAACATGTTTTGCAACGAATCCCTCAATATGGGTTTCAAATAAAAGGGCTTAACTATACAATATGGCAAATTTCGAATCCAAGATGGCCGCCGCCAAAAATTTTGGATTACCTACATATTTTGTCACGACTCCCTCAATACGGATATCAAATAGAATACTATAGGTACACTATGTCAAATTACAAATCCAAGATGGTCGCCATCATAAAAATGCGAAATTATATAATAGGTACAGACAGCCACATGTTGGGTTACCACAATCTAACACTGAAAGAATTTCTCAAATTGGACCAGTAGTTCCTGCAAACAAACAAACTCTTCAGCTTTATAATATTTTTATAGATTACCTATTGAAAGCGTGAAGTTATTTGAACTTATATTATTATACGGTAAGTTAGATATAAGTCGATGTAGCTGTTCCAAATTAAGGGAGAGGGAGTAAAAGTGGAGATGACCAATGTTTATTCTTTATTAATTCTCAGTGTTTGCAATTCTGCCAAAGCCAGTTTGTCATAAGGATTATTAAACAGCTTTCTTTGGTCTAGCTCGCTAATAGCGACACCATTTAAACTTTTTACGCGGCTTAAAGCCACGTAGGCATGGCCTTTTGCAAAAGTTTTTTTGCCTAAATACATTACAGCCTTTTCAACTTATTTTTATTTTAAGTTGGACTGTAACTGTACATAAGTTGTTGTAAGGAACATTGTTCTCTCAATGTTGCCGTATCCTTTGAGACCTTGAAAATTATCTTTAGAACTCCTGCCAATGGACTCGTCATCAAATTTAATAGATTGTTTTTGGAAGTTCCCTTGCTCGAATTGGTCTCGGCGAAGTCTAGTCCATTCGATTTTTTTGATAATCCCCACGCTACCATTAACTAGCCCTTTAAATTTACTCTAAACATCACTCTCGTCCCGATTTCTATTTTAATAGAATCGAGTCCCATTTTATAACTAATACCTAAGATAAATACCTAATTATATGACTATGAAATACTTGTACGAAAGTATAACAACAAAACGAACTAGAAAAAGATTATCACCAAATTAACTGAATTGCAACTTGCAAGAAAATGAATCAAAAATGAAGGACTCTTTAAAAAAGCAAGAAAAAATAAACAGTTAAATTTAAAATAACCCCGACACAATATAATAAAAAATAGTACGAGTAAAAAGCGTAAAAACAAATAAAAAAAACTGTCTTAACTATCCACAATTAATTAAAAAAAAGGATAAACGTTTAAAAAAAAGGTTAAACCCTTTAAAAAAAAATAACCTTGACATTATGACCGTACATAATTACAAAAAACAGCATGACAGACAATTTCATTTTGAACTTTGCGCTAATTTCGAACTGCAAGGACCTTGACCTGCTGTTGACCGTACATATGATTTTTTTTTATGAAATGTTGTCGCGTTGGGGGACCGCTCTTCGTGTCTACTTGCTCGGGTCGCCACACTTGATAACGCTCCGCCCACTATGCTCCGCCCGCGCGCCGTGCTGCCGCGAGGTGTGTGTAGTCCATCACAAAACGCGTTCAAGTTAGTAAAGCTATCTTCTATGCTGTGCTTCTAATATTACATTGAAGACTTTGTAATAATATTATAGCATATATTATGTATGTGCTTTAGAAATGTTAGGTTAATAAATTATAGCGGTACCCCGACGCGACAACATTAAATTAAAAAATAAAACATATTTATAGTCCACAGCAGGTCAAGGTACTTGTTACTATTTGTCACTAGCCAGATGTTGAAAACAAAAGAGTTAAAGAGTTTATTTCAATATGAGAAATAATAAGAGCCCGCTAGCGCATTTGTTAACACGTTCGGTTTGCTATTCATTGAATGGGTGAAAAATAATTTTTGTTTTTTTTATAACGCAGGGAAAATGTACCGTAAGTCTTAAACCAGGGCTCCCCGATCCCGTATCCGTCAAAAGTATAAGTTTATTAAGCGAGGCCGATCTACCGGGTAAAACCCGCTGTAAGTACTCTCTGAGGGAATGGACCCGGGATCCAGTTTTCTTTTGGATGGGCGAAAAAAAAAATTGTCTGGAGTTCCTCGGTGCATTAAAATGGTACCTGTTTTTATATTTTTATTCATATATCCATATTAAGTAGGTCTCCGATAGAAATAACAATCAATGTCATTGAAAAGAAATGTCACACAAAGTAATTTATTTCATTAAAAAACATATGATCTTCCAACCAAACATCTAACAACACGAATATCAAACATTGCACTTTGTATTTCATAAAAGTGTACTTAGTAAGTAGGTACACAAATTCAAAAGTTTTATTTGATACACTGAAAAAAGCTCTCCTATATCAAAATTTATCACTCTCTTGAAAGTCCACTGTAGTCAGAAACAAAATCTTAGCGGTTAAACGACTGGTTATGAATGTGAGTAGATATATTATATGAAGTAAACTAGTGTCCTCTTTCTATATCTTAATGTGAAATAACGTAAATCAAAGAGAAAATACTTTTACCTACACAATAAATAACTTCATACAAGTAACTGTCGTAGGTATATGATTATGTACCTACAGTTTCCGTGCTACGATGACTTTATAACATTGTCCTATTTCAGTTTATATCGTCAGCAGATGTGGTACCGTCGAATGAATATATGTAAAGACAATAGGAACAGGGAAAATAATAAAGCTTTTCAATAATAATTTTAATAAATATATTAGAAGAAATACTAAGCCAATAATTAGGTAGACCATAGCAATTAAACAGCTGTTTTGAAAAGATATTATTATATTTACCACTTTTAGAATACACATTTATTGTAAAACCGTTCTTATCTAACATTATTATTAGAGTCGATTATAGAAATATTATTGTTTATGCTATCGTCAAAGTACGAACAATGGCTTCAATTAACTAATAGTTTTTCATTATAACTAAGAGCTAAGAAAACTAATATAGATATATAGAACTGTTACTTATTTTTGCGAGTCTGTTAGTAGAACTTTTGCATAACCACCATTGGCAGATTTTTTTAAAGTAAAGAAAAAAATAAATGTCAAGAAAAGACATAAAAAAAAGTAACTAAAAACACATACAATAAAAAAGTTCATTATAAAATGGATAAATGTGACTTATTAAAAATTAAAATAAAAGAAAATTAATTTCTAACAGTCGGCCCCTGTTTCATTGTAAACATATTGTAAATGAAAATTTTCACCACGTCGAGACGATGAAACTTGAGTTTCCAATGAATGGCTGTTTGTGTTTGCTCCTCTTTCTATCTTCGCCTTCATTCTTCTATTTTGAAACCAAATTTTGATTGATCTCTCAGTCAAATTTAGTATTTGCGATAATTCCATCCTTCTGTCACGCTTTATATACTGTGCTATTTGATATTCCGTCTCTAGCGCTGTCAACTGGTTCGTTGTAAACGCCGTCCTGTGGCGTTTTGGTTTTCTTATTGCACATTGGTTTACAATTTCAACAGGACCTTGCATGGAATATCCTTGATGGTATGGCATGTTATTCGTGTCCCCATTGTTGGGACACACGCCTTCGTTATGGTAGGTTGGCGATGGTGGTTGATGATTCACGTTCTGATAATTTTGGTGTTGACTTGCATCAGGCTGGGCCGGAGGATATATATATGTATTGAAATTACTACAGCTATGATTTGGCGCATCACCGGCTATGGTGTGACTAGCGTCCGGATTGAAGCCAGTCAAATCCTGCAAAAAACGAATGGTTAGAAATCATATTTACAAACATAAAAATAATAGCAGACTAAATAAAAAAATATATAAAATTTTGTATCAGAATCAGTTACTTAACATAATATCAGACAAAGATATTTATAAAGCTTCTTTAAATTATCTATAAATCTTCGAAATGTAGAAATTTTAATTTTAAAAATTTGATTTCCATAAAGGTGGAGGGGGTCTTCGAGGTTAAGCAAACTAAAAACTAGTTATCTTAAAAATAAGCACTCGGTTTCAGCTGCAGTCGTTAACACCCATTAAACCACATTGGGCCCTTGTGGTTGGTACTCTAGAAGTGAGGACAGAAGTCTTACTTATGACGTTACGTATACGTTGGTACTCCAGAAGTCTTACGTATGATAAACAAAATAAGATAAATGCAAAAGAAATAAAAAAAAACAAAAGAATGCATAATAGTTAATAATATTAAACACACTTACCATCGGCATCAAAACGTTCTGGTACTGTTTTTCTTCTTCTTTGAAATATAAAAACGACGTTTTTCAAAGATTTATCTTTTCTTATAATTTTAAAATATATACAAATGGTGGCTATGCAAAAGCTCTGCCAACAGACTCGCAAAAAATAAGTAATATTCCATATATATAGGTTTTCTTGGCAATTAGTTTTAATGAAAAACTATTAGTTAATTGAAGTCATTGTTCGTAATGTGACGATAGCATAAACAACCAATAACCATCTCTATAAGCGACACTAATATTTATATTAGATAAGGACTTATTAACAAAAAAAACAATACCTTTACAAAAATGTGAATTCAACATAAGTGTAGTAAATATTATGATATGTTTTCAAAACAGCTTTAAGATTCTTTTCTAAACTATTTATTTAAAGAATTATTGTAAAGCTTTATTATTTTCTTTGTTCGTATTGTCTTACTTAAATTATTAATTCGACGTTACCACACCATCTGCTGGCGATAAAGAGGACAATGTTATAAAGCTCTCGTAGCACGGAAACTGTAGTTACATAATCATATACCTATGGTAGTAACTTGAATGAAATTAATTATTGTGTAGGTAAAAGTATTTTTCTCTTTGATTTCCGTTATTTCACATTTAGATATAGTAATAGGATACTATTTTACTTTATGTTTTAACGACAAATTTAATAGTTTCTAAGAACAATATACCTACTCGCGTTTATAACCACTTGTTTGTTCTTCCAAACTGCACAGATTTTGTTTCTGACTACAGGTGGACTTTCAAGAAAGTGATAAATTTTAATATAAGAAATAATATACCTAGATTTGGATTAAACTTTTTAATTTGTGTACCTACCTAGTACACTTTTATGAAATACAAAGTGCAATGTTTACAAAACAAGTCGTGTTGTCAGATTGTGCATTTGTTTTATTTTCATGCACCGAGGAATAGAGATAAGGAAGGAGGAGAATAGAAGTGGGGCTGGACCCCGCGGTCTGCTTCCTGGATCCCCCGCGGTCTACTTCCTCCCCTCACTGGGTACTCAAGGCGGGTTTCACCCGGTAGATCGCCTTCGATTAGTAAACCTGTCATTTTCTCGGATGCAGATCGGAGAGCCCTGGCCTACGGTACATTTTGCCTGCTTTATAAAAATGAAAAACAAAACCATTGGTCACCCATCCAATGACTGGCAAAATGAACGTGCTAAAAAAATGTGCTACCGGGCTCCTATTATTTATCTATTAATATCTTTTGTTTTCAACATGTGGCTAGTGACAAATAGTAAAAAATAATATTCATATAATAAGCATTACTCGTTCATTTACTCAAGTAAGATGTCATGAAGTCTATACTAATATTATAAAGAGGATATTCCTCCTCAACCACCCATAAAAAAGGGTCAGCCCCTGCAGTGTGGCCATAAAAAGGGTGATGATGATTGTAAACGGGAAATAGTTGTTTGTTTACATCGAATAGGTTCCGAAACGCTGATGGGCTGATGTTATAAATTCATTCATCCACGGTAATCTACACATATGCAGTTTACGCGTACGAAGTCGCGGGATAACAGTTAGTATATAATATTTTATTAAGCGCAGGCATCACAGATTGAAGACGCTTGAATCTTTTAATATTTAGGTATAGACGTACAAATAACTTGAAAATTTAAACAATCAAGATTTCATTAATTATTTTGGTCTGTGTGATAAATATTGTTTTTATATGATGCAAAAATTTTCATTATACAAGTAAATAACTTCAATAGCTACATGCATCCTCCGACCGAGTTGAATAACAGAATATAATCACGTGTATAACCATCAACCAAATACACCAAACTACCATATGGAAGGTCGTTGTCCCAGCTGTGGGAACACTGATAGACTAGTGACGGTGAGCAACGTCCCATGCTCATGATTATTCCATCCAAGCTCCTGGTAATATCGTCAACCACTGTGCGAACAATGGCTTCAATTAACTCATAGTTTTTCATTATAACTAATTACTAAGAAAACTAATATATGTATATGGAACTATTACTTATTTTTGCAAGTCTGTTAACAGAGCTTTTGCAATGTCACCGCTTGTAGATTTTTTAAAAGTATAGTAACGGATAAATCAATAAAAAAATGTCTTTCTTATATTTCAATGAAGAATAAAAACAATACCAGAAAGAACACTTTGATGAAGATGGTAAATGTATTGAACATTTATAAACGTTTATGTATTTTTTTGTTTTATTTTATTTCTTTTGCATTCATAAAATTAGATTAAAAATATCTTAAATGGTTTTATAATAAAGATTTTATCAACATTCTCTTTGTTTGATTATCTGTTAAGTAACTATTTCTGTTTAAAATTTTCCTTTTTTATTTATGTCTGCAATTACAATAATGTTTTTAAACATGATTTCTTACCATTACGTTTTTTCCAAGATTTGACTGGCTTTTATCCAGACGCTAGTCACACCATGACGGGCCAAATCATAGCTAAAGTAACCACAATACATATACTTATTCTCCGGCTTAGCCAGATGCAACTCGATACCAAAATTATAACAACGTCCACCATCAACCACTTCGGCCAACCAATATAGAGAAGGCCTGTGTCCCAATGAGGACACGATTAACACGCCATTCCATCACGGAAATTCTACACAAGGTCCTGTTAAAATTATAAACCATTGCATTAAAAATACCAAAAGGCCACAGGATGGCAATGACAACGAACCAGTAGACAGCTTGAGAGAAGAATCGAATTATAGCAAATTCTAAATTTGACAGCTTTTATGTGGTATGATAATTTTAGAACGAGATTTTCATTTATAACACATAATTTTTTGTACATTGGTTGGAAAGTCTTAAAAATAAATGCGAACCATTAAGCAAAAAAGTGGGATACATTTCTTGGAAACTGGTATCTCTCATGCCTTAAAATATAGCCGAGCGTATTTCAGGGCATATGAGAGGCACCAGTTTTTTCAGCTTATATAGTTAGTAGAAGAAAGGAGTCATGTTTACGATATAACTGAGAATGGACTCAAATAGCCAGCGTTGAAGAACTTCTTGCTTGGTTCAAGAGTACGAAAAATTTGTTGAGCTGACGGCAGATCTCCAGTAATGGAGAGCCTCGTGAGAGAGAGAGTAATTTTGAAAAATATTTCTGTTGCAAAAATGTACATTTTATGTATAAAATCTTTATTATGTATTAAGATTCTAGCATGGAAAGCAAAAAATCATTTAATTACTCAAGCATATATTGAATCATCGAGCAAATATCTTTGAAAAGTCAAAACCGAGTTAAAAATTAGTTTTTATAATAAATTACATGAATATTCTATGCTTTTTGTTTTTGAACAATGTTTTTCGTTTTTATTTTATAACGTACGGAAAATGTGCCGTAAGTCTTAAACTAGGGCTCCCCGATCCGGTACCCGTCAAAAGGTATTAAGCGAGGCCGATCTCCTGGGTAAAACACGCCGTGAGTACCCACTTGGGGGAGGATCGGGGAACGAGACTTCTATTGGATGGGTGTCAAAAAATATGTTATCTCGAGTTCCTAGGTGCATTAAAATGATACCTGTTTTTATAATTTTATTTATAAATCCATATTTAGTAGGTCTCCGATAGAAATAATAATCAATGTTATTGAAAAAAAATGTCACACAAAGTAATTTATTTTATTAAAAAAAACAAATGATCTCCAACCAAATGTCTGACAACACGAATATCAAACATTATATTTTGTATTTCATAAAAGTGTACTAGGTAGGTACAGTCGGCCAAGAAAGTGGTCTACCACCCTAAGGTTGAATTTCGCGTGTTACGTCAACTAACAACAAGGTTGATTTTCCGTAGCATTAATTTTTTGACACGTCAAGTACACGTCATTATTGCTATCTTCATCATTTTGGCGTAAACTTTGACAGTAATTATCTATACCTATAATAAAAATGTAACAAGGTTACATTTGTAAGATATTTTGGAAAAAAAAATATGAACGGCCTTCATAAGACTAATAGAAGCCAAAAATTTTTTTTTCTGTCTATCTGTTTGTATGTTTAAATACTTAAGAGTTAGAATATCGTAAATAAAGTCTTATAGTCTACAAATATCCTACATTAGAATGTAGATTAATTATATTTTAATACAAATAAAAAAAATCAGTAGGTAGTGAAATGCTATGCGTAAGAAGCTATGCGTGTTATAGGTCTGAATATACTGAGATAACGGATAACAGAAATGAATAGCGACGAAAAACATATTGCGCCGACCCATAGCTTAGTGCGAGACAAGGGCTAAAACTAGAAGAGATAGTGAAAATGCTAATTCTTTGGTTGTTAAAAAATATATACAATTCTTTTATAAAATTATAATTCTTAAAATCTTGTGTAGCCGCCATCTGCCTCTATAACAGCTTGGAGACGTTCCCTCATCGAGCCCACCAGTCTTGAGCAGATATCAGACCCACGTGTTTCCTCCCAAACCTCATTGCAGTGCCCTTGTAGTGCTTCTGCTGTTCGTTCATTACGGTTACACCATCTCTGAACCATAAGACCCCACATATTTTCAATAGGGTTGAGATCTGGCGATTTTGCAGGCCATGGTATCAAGTTTATTTCCGGATGTGCATCAAACCAAGCACGTGTTACCCTTGCTTTATGTAAGGGACAGTTATCCTGTAAATAATTAAATTGACGCATTTCATTTTCTGGATAAACGTTCCGGACGGATGGCAACATAGCATTTTGGAGAACATCAACATAATCTGATGCCGTTGCTCGTGGTGGCAAAAAGGTCAAGTCTCCAACACCATCAGCAGTCATCCATCCATACAAATTTACCGAGATACGACCCGATTCTCTATTTGGCACGACATGATTTTGCGTGTATCGCGTTTTATTGAATCGCCAAAGGTGTAGACGCCCGTGTTGACTGGATTTAAAAGTTTTCTCGTCACAGAAAACAGTGTTACTCCAATCAAAATCCAAATATTCTATGGCG